TCACCATCGATTGTACCAGAGAAAACGGACGAGGATCCTTCTTTCTTGCCCACTCAATGCTTCAATTCCGTCAACCTCGCTCATTCAAGTCCATTTAAAATAAGCCTCGCTCGTGATGGATTTCGTTCGTCTTACTGCGTTCGAGATTCGTTTCATCTGAGCTTTCTCGCGTGGATTCGCTTTCCTCAGGTTTGAGTGGTCTTGCTCTTGCTTTTTCTCAAACTCTGATTCTTTCTATCATGGCTCTCACACTCACACGGCGGTTTCGATTAACACTGCGGCTGTCTGGAAAGAATTATGTGGCGGCGACGCGATGAATGTTTTTTTAGGTTGCCGTTATGAGTCATGTTGAGTGATGTGTGGAAAGAACAGGGGTTGAATTCCATGAAGTTTATTGTTGAGTTGTCAATGAAAAACAGAGGAAGTGTGTTGTATCTAAAGTTGTAGCTGCTGTGATGGGGTTATATGCTGACGGAAATTTTGATCTTTTGCAGAATTGGTTGTTATGCAGGTGTTGATGGTGGTTGGTTTAGATGGGTAGAGTTGATCGGCAAGTGGTGGGGCAAGTTCGCGTCACCGTTTCGAAGATGGAAGCGGGGGTTTATGTATGGTGAAGAAGATGCAATGTGGATTTCAAGTTATGGTGCAGTTGATGTGTTACTGCATATGTTGTTTATGAAGATGAGGGAGCGGAAGTGATTTTCGCGTATAAATCTCATGCTGCTGCAACAGGAATCGATTGGAATAGCGAATGAAGATGGTTGTTGGTTCTTGTGGTGAGTGAGGTATGTTAATGATGATGTAGGTTTGTTGAGGTGAAGTTTGAATATTGATGATTGTTGTTGGTTATGTGATGAAGGTTGGAGAGTGGAAATAAAATGGCAGCAGATGGAAGGAAAGAGAGTCAGAGGTTACACGATGATTGAAGTTGAAAATGGCTTCCCCAAGTGTGTTTATTGAGGATGATGTTTTAAGTTGATGGAGGTTGAGTTGTTTTTCATTTGTGAGCCCCCCCACCAAAAAATGAAGAGTTCCCCCTTTTATCAATTTTTTCCTTTAGTCTTCTTGCCTTTTTCTGATGTAGTGGCTGTCTTTGCTGTGTTATGCAGGTACAGTTTGGAGTGCTGTTGCATTTTGACAGAGCTTGTCTGGTGTGGCTTATGTTTGGAGTCTTGTGGAAATGGTGCAGGCAAGTATAGTAGAGAGCAGAGTTGTCTGGCATGGCTTGTGTAGGCTGATTTTGTTTCTTGTTGTGCTACAGGGTGTAGGCTGATTTTGCAGGTGTTGTCTTTGTGTAGCAGTGTACAGAGATAGTAGCAGAGTTGTTGTTTGGTAGTAGTGGTGATTGCCCTCGGCTTTTTTTACCCTTTCCATTGTTTTTGTACACCATAATAGCTGGCAATGATGTTTTCCTATGGTACAATTTTGCTGCAGGTTTTGTCTGCTGTGGGTGTTGGGATAGTGGTGTGTAGCAGGTTTTGTTTTGCAGGTCATGACTACAGGTATTTTGGCTAGTTGTAGCCAAGCTTGCCTTTTTGTGAAAAATGTTCTCCTAATTTGTATCATTTTCTTGGTATTGCAGGCTTGACTGCATTGTAGGATACAAATGGGGTCAGCAGTTTTAAAAAAAAAAGTGGGAGTTTGAGGTTCAACTGCGGGTAATGGTATGCATAGGGTGTCGGTACGCGAGCTGTTTTGGCAGATGGTGTGTGTTTGCAGGTTTCATTATGGTGTTGTTGTTGGCTGCGGTGCGGCTTTGCTACGAAATTCGCTTCCGTAAAACTCATGGTTCCGTCTTGTAGGTATTATTACTGAGAGGCGGTGAGGCTGGTGCGTGCACGTTGGTTCACGACTTGGGATTGTGAGGCCGTACTCTACTTGGCAGGAGAGGATAGCTATGATTCAGAAGTTTGTTGATGAGCAGAGTTTCTATTTGGCATGCCAGACTTTTTCCCGGAACTAAGAAATAAAGAAATGACGCTTCCTGCATTCTTTTTCTTTGGAGTTCCGTTATAAAATCCTGGCAGATTACAGTGATAGCATTCTCAACCTCCTTATGCGAAACTTCAATTGGATTGGCTAAAGAGATTCCCTCATGAGAAGTGCCGGATATAACCTTTTTGGAATGAATATGTGTTCCATTCAAATTATTACCATTGACGTAAGTAGACATTTCTTCCTGTTTTTGCCAAATTTTCTGCAGAAAGCATTTCCTTAGCATAAACTGACAGATAAAGATCTTCAGCTCTTTTGATAATAATTTCAGGAACTCCTTCCCTCTTGGCAGTTTCAAACGCAAGACTTTCTTTACAAGTTCCATCTGTCAGCTTCCAAGTAGGTTTTGTTTCTTGTGTAGGTTAGTGGCACATTTACTTAATGTTTTGTTGAAGGTTTTCTACCGTGTCAGTTTTTGGATTATAATTTTTGCTTCTTGTATGTGGCTGATGTGTTACAGGTCGTACCGTTGTGAATATCAGTGGTGGGAAAAATCTGTTTGAAATTGGTTGTCATTTTCACGTTTCATGTCCGTATGGATGTCATGGGGTAGTGGCTAGGACAGTATTTTTCTTTACGGCATGGTACAACCTGTTTGTATTATGAAAGCTGGTGTGCTTTTGTACGGGAAAATTAGCAGAAATGTTGCAGGTTTGCTTGGCTGTGTTGATAGTGGACAAAGCTTGAGGGATTATGCAGGAGGATGGTCCAGATCTCAGGACTTGTCTGGCCTGTTGTAGGAGTGTTGGTTTTTTCTTTCACGGATGTGTGCAATGTTTGTGATGGCTTGACATTGTTTGCACGCAGGTCTGCTACAACTTAGGGAATAGGTGATGAGTTTTACATGGTGATGATGGGACTGGCCTTGTACGACTTTTGTGGTTGGAAATGAATTAACATCAGCGTATGAAGGCTTGATGAATTTTAGTTCATACTACTTTGTAAATGAATTTTTAATTCATACTACTTTGCAGGCAGGCTGTGTTGGTTGGAGGTTGTGTTGGTTGGTTGTAATGAATGTAAATGGGCCTTGTTGATTGAATTAATGAAATGAACTTCTCTTTTTTGTAGATCATTGGGATAACCTTTGTAAAAAAATAAATAAATAATGGGATTTATAAAACTTGAACAAAAGGACTTTTGAATTGTGGAATTTTCTTGTAATGGGCAAAAAAACAATGGAAAAGAATACACCCTTTTTCGATAGAGTTCTCGTTGTAAATGTGAAGGAAATGGACTTGAAAGTGAGAATTGAATAGAAATTAGAATCAACTCTCGAAGGGATTCAGAAAAGTATTGAATTTGGAATTTGAAAGAATTATAACATAAGTAACCTACACTTATCTCAAAATTTGAAACAAATCAAGGCTTCAAATCAGGAAGAATCTGCCTTTCAAACTTCTCTACTCACAATGATAAACCAAACTTTCATCATGAAGCAAATAAACAACAAATGCATTGACATGAAATCTTTGATAGGTTCCACATGATTCCCTATTGAACTCAACACAACTTAATATTTTGATCCATACACCATTGATCTTAATTGGCGCACAAGCCCTGACCACAACCTCAAATACACCATAGCCTTTATTGAACTTGAAATCTTGCCTAACCGTTGAACCTCACTCAACACTGTCCCTTTTGAATCATTACAACCCTATCCTAGATATTAGACCTAATCAATACCAATGAAACTCAATTCATGCTATTCACACACCCAACTCCTCTTTGTAACAACTTGAATTAAGGCAATAAGAAGAACGAAAGCAGAGACAACATTTTATTTTTGATTTTTTTTTTATAACAGTTAACGGATCGATGTACAGATGAAACTATACACGGGTAGGACGAATTCAGGGTGCGACAGATGTGTTGGCATTTGATGCAACATACGGGACGAACAAATACCATTGCCCCTTAGTGATATTTTCTGGAGTTAATAACCATAATCATAATATTATATTTGGTGGTGCTATTGTTGCAAATGAAAAAGAAGAAACATATGTGTGGGTTCTTGAACAAATTTTAGAAGCAATGTCAGGTAAGTTGCCTATATCTGTCATTACTGATGGCGATATTGCAATGAAGAAAGTAATACAAAGGGTGTTTCCGAATGCTTATCATAGGTTGTGTGCTTGGCATCTAATTTGCAATGAAATGTCTAACATTAGAGTTCCTGAATTTATTAGTCAGTTTAGGAAATGCATGTTGGGTGACTATGACTTATGCGAGTTTCGGCGCAAGTGGGATGAGATGATTGACACATTTGGATTGCATGATAACAAGTGGGTAACTAAACTATATGCAAAGAGAAAGATGTGGGCTACAACTCATATACGCGGAAAGTTTTTTGTTGGGTTCAGAACTACCTCCCGATGTGAGGGGTTACATTCAGAAATGGGGAAGTTTTTCACTCACGGTATAATTTAACTGGATTTTTATTACATTTTCATCGGTGCCTTAATTATGTGCGCTATAAGGAGGTCGAAGCTGACTTTGCATCAAATTACGGTGATCCTGTACTACAAACAAGATTTCAGAGCATGGAGCATTGCGCTGGGAAGTTATTTACCAGGGAAATATTCTTTATGTTTCGTGATATTCTTGCATGGTCCGCAGAGATGGTAGTGGCAACATGCAATCAAACCTATACATGCTTTATATACACAATTTGCAAGTATCAAGCATCAAAAAGGGAGTGGAACGTATCATTCTATCATAATGATGACGTGTTTAAATGTTCTTGCAAGAAGATGGAATCATTTGGCCTCCCGTGTGAGCATATTATTGCACTATTGATTTTTTTAGATGTCGCAGAATTGCCAAAGACTCTAGTGGCTGATCGATGGACAAAGAACGCGAAGGAAGAAATATGTAGCACAAATAAGCATCTTCCAAAATACTGGGATTCATACAAGTCGTCAAGATATTATGCACTCATGTTTTGATATATGCGTTTGAGCAAATTAGTAAGTGAGAATGGTGATGATTTCAATAACCATATGAAACAAGCTGCTGCTGATATCCGAAAGATGGAAGAAAAAATGGGCTTACATGATGGTGGAGCCACAAATTCAAGTGAAACTGTCCATGAGACATTGAAGGATCCTACTCTAGCTAGAACTAAAGGATATGTTGGGGAATCTTCAACAAGTCAGAAAAAAAGGAAGCAGACTCAATGTTCTACTTGCAGAAAATTCGGGCATAATAAGCAAACATGTTCAATACCTCGACATCATGCTAACATGACACATTCGTCACATGAAGATTTTCACAACATTGAATTCAGTGATGACTCTGTAAGCAATTTCTTTAATGTTGTTATTTAATGGTATCATTGTTATAATTATATGGTTATAATTATATATGGTTCTTGCAGTTGCATAACGATCTTGATTGAAGATAGAACAATATTAATCTCGAGCTTTCCGAACAACAACATCCAGAGCTTCCCATCAGCCATCAACCTATGAGACCATAGTTAGATTATGCTTTTTATGTGATAATCAGATACTTGAAAGTTAGACTGTCGTGATTATGGATATCAGTTTTAGTTAGAATCACAAAGTTGTGTGAATCTGTATTATTTAAGCTTATGCTTATTAGAATTTTATTTGAAAGAATATTTTGTTCATGACCTTTCAAGTAGTTATAATTGGTGAGATTATCTTGAAGATGTTGATACAACCTTTTCAGGTTACAGATACCAGGATGATTTAGTTATATGTTTAATTAGTTGTATCCTATGATAGCTCTCAATTAGTTTCTAACAAGTTCTTGAAGTCTTTCTTTCCAAGGGATGGTTTGATTATTAGAAATCATAAATTTAAATTATAAATGGTTGGACTACTGATATCAACCTTTATCCTGACATACACATTCAATTTTGTGTGTTAGCATCGGAGAATTGGTCCCTATTAAATTTGGACTTTTCAAGTTTTGTCCCTTTTCAGAAAGTGCTCGTTTTCATATTAAACTCAGTGCTCCTTTTCATATTTGATGAATTTAGTTAATGCTCATGGTTTCATAAAGAATCGTGGAAATATACCCTTATTCATTCCCTTTTTTTGTTACTACAAATTTGATTCAGTGTTAGGGATTTAAGCAGTGGTTGCTATAAATGGTTTACTCTGTTGAATTTATTAGCTGCATTTTTTGTTTTGTTTCGCTTTGTTCTGTTTTGGTTCACTTCAATTGTAAGATTGGAAAAAAGGAAACGAAAAAGATATAGGCAAAGAGGTCTAATTAGTAATATAACACTCAAGGTGTTAAAAAACAGTTTGTTATCGAGAAGACGGCTTCGACAAACTGCTAGTTCCATGGTTCTATGATATAGAATTGTCCATGGTTCTATGATTGGCTAAATTTTGGTAAAACATGATCCTGCACTGATGTTAAGCAGGATGTTATAACATCTCCATCTGCTGTGGTGAAAGAACTGTTGTGGAGTGTTTTAATGTGAATGGCATGCTGAATATCGTGACATCCATCACGACATCCATCTGCTGTCATGACAGAACTACTGTCATGTGTGAGAAACAGCAGGAGTTGATAACAGAAATGTTGTCATGGGTTGTAAATAGGATGTCATTACATATGGTGCAGCAGGAGCTAACAAGAGCAGATGACTGAACTGTTGTCATGGATGCAGAAAGAGCCAGCAGGAGTTGATGACAGAACTGTTGTCATGGGTGCATGACATAAATGTCTGGTACAGCAGGGGCTGCTAAGTTATATCTCTTGACAGAAGGGTTTTGGTATTGTTGGACTTTCCTCATCAGTATGTACAGGCCTAAGAGAGTTATTAGAAACAAAGTGCAGATTTAATGAGTGTTCATAAAAAGGATCTTTGATACTTTTTAGGGAACTATAAAACATTTTTTCTACTGTCATGAAGAAGATTATGCAGAAGTGTTCAGCAGGGCAAGTTGGAAAGCTGAGAGTAAGTGAAGCTGAATGTCATGACTGAATGTCATAACATTGGTCGTATGACATCAGGCATGCAAGGTTTGTTTTTCTGTTATGATACCTGATATATCTCATGCTAAATTTCAGGAAACCTGTTATAGCTTCTCAGTTATTTTAGGCGAGATGCTAGTCAGGGCCGGACATAATATAAAGCAGCTGTGACCAAAATTGACAGCACCTTGAATTGTGGAAATTAGTTTTACTTTGTTAAAACTAATGTTTGTTACTTTGGACCAACCCAAGCCTAGTCTGCACTACTATAAAAGGAGGAGCAGAAGCAGAGGAAAGCAAGCACTCACTTCAGGAAAAACCAGAGTGTGAAATAAAGGTATAGGGTTTGAGAGTCCCTTGTGTGTAGGTCACCCTCTGTATCTTTTGATACATTGTGGTAGACATATGTGTGAATGGAGAATTCTGTGGTTGCAGTAATTCTTCACGTGTCTAGGGATCTTAGGATTCCTTGTGTACCAAGCAATTGTAGGTTATATAATTGCTTTGGTTATTGTGTACGAACTGTTGTATTTATTGTGTCACTCAAAGCTTTTAAGCAAGAGTGTGTCTCACTTGATCAAAGCTGTGAAGCAAGATCATGGTGTGTGTTTGGAGTGTATCTCCATAACTGTTATGTAATTGTGTATCACTGTGTTGTGATTGAGGGGGGGGGTGAGTGGGAATACTCAGGTCTAGAGTGTCTCTAGGTTGAAGTGTCATTGGGTAGAGATTAAGTGAGAAGTGCAAACTGGTTGTTTGACTTTGAATTGATTCTGCTAATAATGAATTTCCTCCCTAACTTGGTAGCCCCCAGATGTAGGTGATGTTGCACTGAACTGGGTAAAAAATTACTGTGTTATTTATCTTTCAACATTTACAATTCTGCACAATTTAAATGGTTAGATAAATATGTCTGTCAGCCTGCAGATGTCACAACAGCCGTCATGACGTTGGTCATGACATTGGGACAATTTAAAGAAATTTAAATTGGTCATGGTCTATCCTCGTCCTTGTTGAGCAGAGATCAATGTTCTTGGGACATATGAGATCTGCATACCAGAATTTCAATTGGTATCAGAGCAGGCATCATGTCTGTTATGGATGAGATCTTGGGAGATACTTTCTAGTAGTTTTAAACAAGGATTCAGTGTATTTGCTGCTTTGCCCTCTGATATAGGTGCCTCTATAACCTGGTGAGTGTATTCTAACATCTTGTTTAGGGCCTGTTGAAGATGTTCTTTTGGTGGTTCCACTGCATATTCTTCTAATGAAAGAACTCTGGTAGCCCTGGGAGAAGATTGGCCTATATACAGTTTGATGATGATTGGCAGATGGTGTGCTTGGGCTGTTCTGCTGTGTATTACAAAGGCTGTTTTAGAAAGGATGGTGGGAGGTGATTTATTTTCACCACTCATGACTTGCAAAGGCTCTTTCAACAGAGGAAGTCATAGGCAGGTTGAGTCAAGGGTGTCAACCTTGATGTTTCAGCCTTGGTATTCCTGATGTTGTATGGATTTAAGATCAATTGCTATTTGTAGTCTACACACGTATTTAATTGATTATCCATGAAGTTCAGAGAAGGATTTTTACAAGGATTTAAGATTCATTTCTATTTGAGATATTCTCAAATATTTAATGGATTATCCTTAGTTGATGATCAAGTTGCCTCATCAGTTGTTGCTCAAGCATCAGGCCCCAGATCTGCTTTGTCTGCTTCAAGGATCTGATGTTCAACCAGATGTTAAGACATTCCATCAGCAGAGGTTGTGCAGAATTTTGTTGATTCAAGGAGTGAATCACATGTACCATACGCATGTGTGGTAGGATCTGACCTTATTCTATTAAGTTTCCTGGCAAGAAACTAAGACTAGAATGTAGTGCTGATGGAAGTGGAGATGAAGACAGTTCTCTTGAGTCAGCTTATTGGAGTGCAGTAGTCTCTACTAGAAGCATATCTAGAAAGTTTCCTGGCAAGAAACTGGTCAAGAAACTGGTGCTGGTAGCTCTGCTTGGGTCAGTTTATTTCTGATCTAAAGGCACAGGAGCATGAGATATTGCTCATCTTGGAGGACAAGGATAAGTAGCAGTTATCTCTGGCCTTCTGAGGAAGTCTCTACTTAAGGAAAGCGAGATTCCTTCTGTAAAGATCTATTGTGAATAATCTTCTCTAAAGAATCAAGCTTTGGCATGTTTGGTTTCTCTAAAGAGGAGTTTTATGAAGCCAATACACTTCAAAGGGAGTTGTTGGGGTACAAGAAAGCAGAATACAAGCTGCCTACTCAAACCTGCTATCAGTAATCAAGTATGTGTGAACATAGAACTCTTGATGAGGTTCTTTTAAATGGTATAATGAAGGACTGAATTCACCAACTGGATGTCTTAACCGAATTTGTGACATCAAGAAGAAACTCCAAGGCCTCAAGTGATGAAGATAAGTTGATCTTCTCAGGTATGAATGGAAGTAATGCTTCATCTCATGCAGTTTGTGGGAGCTGTGTGAAGGATTAGATGCCTTGCTTTGGAGCAAGAAGAATTTGAAGATCAAAGTGGCCTGGTGGATTAGCAGATTCTCTAGAGCTATGAAAGATGCTGAATAACCAAACAGTGGCATTTGGCTATTTAAGCAGTGTGCCTTTAGAAAACTATTCTTATGCAGAAGGGTAGTTATTTGAAGACCACAGAATGTTCTGGGACTGTTCATGCTTGGAACTAATTACTCTTGTGCAGAAGGGTAGTTGGTTGAAGACCAAAGGAGCATCTTTTTATGTTCATATATTGGAGCTTGTGGTAGAAGCCCTAAGGTATGTATGGAAGATTACCTTCTTTTGGAGATGTATTTGATCAAGCTGGTGGAGCTGTGTTCTCTGAAGATCTTCAGTTGGATTACTAGGTAGAAGTAAGTCCAGTTGTGGGTAGATAAAGAACCAGTGGATATGGTTTGGTTTTCCTTGGCAAAGGACTTGAAAATCTGTTGTGGAACATGTGATTCACATATAAGAAGTACTCTATCTTGTCATACGGGAGAATGATGAGGTAAAGAATGCCTTGGATTATGGGATGTCCACCTTAGGCTGAGGTCAAAATACTTGTGGAAAAAAGGTTCCTTTGCTGCAAGTAACTCTAAAAAGAAGTGGATTTGTCTTGTGTCTTCTTACTGTATGAGCATGAGGTAAGTCTTGAAGACATAATATGGTGACCTTGGAGCAGCTTTTATCAAAGATAGAGGGAGAGCTTCTGTTTGATGGGTGTACTTTTTGCTTGTGGTTCAAGCAGTAAGTGAATGCGTTCAACTTGTGTGTTGAACAAAGAATGAGTTCTTGAAGACATGAAGATGCGCCTTATGTTTTCCATTCACGTGCACTGTTTACCCTTGATACGGGGAGTTATACTTCTATCTAGGATGTGTTGCTGCAAAAGTGCAGTTATATACCAAGATTGTTT